AACAGGGAGGAAAGCAAGGGAACCATATGGGATTGATGCCAACGGCAAAGTAAGAATATTTCCTCCTGCTAATCGCGTTATGTAGGCGAATTAGAGACCTTTTGTCTAGTCAAACCAGATCCATGTGGCGAAATGACAACGAGCATCGTACATACACAAGGATGATTGTCTTGAACATGTAAAAAGATCCTTGTTGGTAAACGAAAGAGAAATTTGATCTCGTTTTTTGTGTAAGGCAAAAGCTAGCAGATTACTGCAGGTCATTAATGTAAATTAAAAACGACGCGTGCGTAGAAACTAACGCCGTTGAGATGACTTGCTATCACATTCTTCATCTCGTAAGCTACTGATGAAAGACTCTCGGTAACACACACGCTTTTCTGAAGACATACAGTGTGCCACATGCATATCGCTGCAAACATTTAGTCATAAAAAATAATCAAACACATACAGTGAAACCATTTTATATCAAATAAATATTATCATCAAAATTGAGGAATTCAAAATTTATTTTCGATACTCTGAGCAGTAATAAAAAATGAAATATTTATTAACTTTTTTAATTTTGAGGGAAATATTTTTTGGATTTTTTCTCAGACTTTATGCATATTATGTTCTTATAGTCAAATATTTTTTTGTTTTTTTATGCTTTGAAATTTATAGTCGGCGTTCATTTCTTCTTTCTTTAAAAAAAATGAGTAAATTTAATTTACAAGCCTACTAGTTTAGATATTCATTGAAATTCAATTAAAAAAACACTCTATGTAGATTGTATATTTCTGCAGCTGTCATTCTCTTGTTACACACGCCAAGCACGTGTCACCATCCAGGGCACCTGCTGAGACTTGTGTATTGCATTATTCATGGCATATTCATGCTCCGTTTAATTGACCCCCGGAATCTTAACCATTCTTCTTTGATAAAATTTGCGACTCCTTATACTTACGCGCAATAAATAAGGTATAAATGCAAATTATTTAAGAAGAGGATATCAGAAACTTGAAACATTTAAAAAGCTTCAAAATCTTAAAAAATATTAAAATTAAACTAAAGAAGGATATATCCGGGTGTGTTTTAACTATATTGTACCATGTGTGATGTTATTACACACTGTCTCAGTGCTGGTGCTGTTATGTATTTCATTAAGATATGGCTATCTGTGCTAACACTTTAAGAATGTGGAAAAACAGAGAAGCACAGAATTCCTAGGAGTTCATTAACAAGACTGCATTGTCAGCAACATGTCTACCTCAGAACAAAAATCGCAAGCACTCTTTGTGTCTTTTCTTCATAACTATCAGTTAACATAAAATTGTTTAAAAAATGGACTTAAGTTTTTCTTAAATTTATAAAATAATTCACTAAATGATAAAATCACAGACACTGAATATACAAGAAATTGGTTAAAATTGCATTTGTACTATATTTTTCTTTATGAGATGTATTATAAATGATGCGGTAATTACTGTTATTATTATTATTTGCAATTCAAATGTTTATTAAATAAATAAAAAAAAATAGTTTGAATTCGAAAAATCAGACTAAAGAAAATATTTTTCATAATTTCCCGTCGAATTTGAGAAAGAGATAATTCCTATATCATATCATGCATATCAACATGTTATATACATGTACATGTATGGTCGGTACTACATAAATAATATGACAACATTTTATATTGTAAACGCTTATCAATTTAAAATAACATTTCATAGCGAATTTAGTACTCTTTTTTTTTTTACATTAGCATGTGTCAAATTATAATTGATTAAAGTTAAAATGTATGATTATCATTAATATATGCAGACAATTCAGACGGAATATCTTTATGTGCAAGTAAAATATTAGTAAAAATGGATGTTTTATAATTGAAATTTGATGTTGATTCATCAAATAAACAAAGTTTCATTACAAATGGGAAACTAACACAGCATTAAAAATTAAAAATGGATAGTTTCTTTTCTGTAAGTAGGAAAAAATATCATGAACAGATAATTTGAATCCGGAACTTCGAATTTTCTTTCTTTAAATAATGAAATTAATGAATTATGGAACATAATGTAGACGTATTATACATATAATAAAGAAATACTTCTTTCGAATGTCGTGTGTCATTGCTACGACTTGTTCAAAACAACCAATGCTATCGCTTCATCGCGTATTTATTATGTTGGTCATATTTCTTCACCGATAGAACAATGAACGACAATCGCCTAATGTACTCTTCTGGTCACGTGATGAAATCTAATCTCGTATTGTACGAGATTTGTCAAGTTAACGGAAGATTGTCGCTCTAATATGACAATAGCTTTAATCTCTTGTTTAACGAAATCCATCAACATTCATTTTAATATATTTTAGAAATCTCCAACTATTGAAGTTTCCCTGATAGAAATTTTACTTCGAGCAAATGATTTGAACTGAAGAAATTTAAGACGTCTCAAATTGTTAGTGAACTCGTACCACCCTTTTAAGTCCCAGTAATGTGCACTTAATCCACTGTGTGCAAGTGAAAAGAAACTTAACAATGTTAAAAACTGATAGTGGATCTATACGGGATAATCGACATCTTTTATATAAGCTTTAACAAATTGATGACATTTCTTGTCAAAATCTAGTTTTCAAAATTGAAAAAATCGCCGATTATGTTCCAGAAATGAACGATATCATGTAAATGATTTATAGATCTATCAAATTAGAAAAAAAGGGTAAAAGTTTATTAACGAAACCAGGGTAGACTTGAAAAATGACTTAGCAAAAAATATGTCGGGTCTATTTATTAGGTAATGATTGTACGATATGAATTATAAAACGAGCCAAGTCGTTTCAGCCAGAAAAAAAAAATCGTCATTCCATGTTTTGTTAGAGATTAAAATCAAATCTTCTTTCAGTGCCAAGCAGCTTTTGCAGAAGTTTACAAAAGGATTTATTATTTAGTCTAAATGTTAGCGGGATTAGTTTTAAATCAGTCAAAATATCCTTTAGTAGATTAAGTTGGATACACATAACATATAACGTGTAATATACACCTATATCCCTAGGATATGTTCCAGAATGCTAAGAAGAATAAAAAGAAAACAATGTTAGTTGAATGCTATGGAAAGCCACAGGGGACCCCCAAGTCATGTTCTATATATTCATAGTAATTCAATCTTGGGCGGTCATGTTTACAATCCCGGCCAAGTCATGATCGGCCACACGGGACTCCCAAGTCATGTTCTATATATTCATAGTAATTCAATCTTGGGCGGTCATGTTCTATATATTCATAGTAATTCAATCTTGGGCGGTCATGTTCTATATATTCATAGTAATTCAATCTTGGGCGGTCATGTTCTATATATTCATAGTAATTCAATCTTGGGCGGTCATGTTCTATATATTCATAGTAAATCAATCTTGGGCGGTCATGTTCTATATATTCATAGTAATTCAATCTTGGGTGGTCATGTTTACAATCCCGGCCAAGTCATGATCGGCCACACGGGACTCCCAACTCCCAAGTCATGTTCTATATATTCATAGTAAATCAATCTTGGGCGGTCATGTTCTATATATTCATAGTAATTCAATCTTGGGCGGTCATGTTCTATACATTCATAGTAATTCAATCTTGGGCGGTCATGTTCTATATATTCATAGTAATTCAATCTTGGGCGGTCATGTTCTATATATTCATAGTAATTCAATCTTGGGCGGTCATGTTCTATATATTCATAGTAATTCAATCGGTCATGTTATGATTGCAACTCTGACCAAGTCAGGTTTGGTTTGATAGCATAACATGGCCTTCTTATCTTTGCCGGTCATGATTTGACAACCCTGGCTTAGTCAAGATATATCCCATGTTTTACATCTTGACTAGGCCATGATTTTCTATCCCAAGATTGCATTGCCCAAGATACATTACTTCCAAACGCAGTCAAGATTTACTTCCCAAGATTTTATAGGACCGAGATTCGGCCAAGATAGCATTGCGCCAAGATATATTACTTCCAAACGCAGTCAAGATTCACTTCCCAAGATTTCAAAAGACAAAGACTAATTTCCCAAGATTTCAAAAGATCAGGATTTACTTCCGAAGATTTGAAAATATCTAGATAACTTGTTACCGTCGTATTACAATATAGGCCTACATAACTGCAATCAGGAATCGTTGTTCGATGTAAGTACATTATGAATAATTTTCTTTTATTTTATTTAGATTGTTTTCCTTTCTCATTAAAACTGTAGCGGGTCTCAATCTATTGACGAGTGAAACTGAAACCCTCACGAAGCAGTAAATGTCATTTCTGAACTTGATTTCTTTTAGATTTTTTAATTATTCCTACAGCTTTATTAACATATAACTGATAATCATTTATTGTAATTGTTTTCATTTTTCCATAAATGGAAGCAATTATATTAACGAGGAAACTCAAGTAAATTTATCTCAATAGTAGGATAGTACGGATCCTTTAAAATTAGAACAACCTGAAGTAGGTTTTTGAAAATACATTTGTGCAATTTTGCATTTAAAGGAAGAAAAAAAAACCCAAGAAATTGCAAGGTTGTTTACTATGCAGTTTTAAAATAACAACACAGAACACAGATAGTTGCATGAAACATTGCAGCTTTTAGGCAGTTTTAAGCAAAGCATGCATTTATATTGTTTGAGTAAATGGGAGTCCGGTCAAGTCGTACACAGACCAACTCATATACAGGTCAACTCGTATACAAAAATTTCCGTATAAACAACGTATACAAAAATTCCCGGTATGCTAAAGAGTCAACTCGTATACAAAAATTTCATATGCATATATAATCAAATACAATTTATGTCAAATATTAAACATGATAATTAATATATATATATATAACATTAACAAATATTCTTACAACAGATGATATCATTTAAGAAAAGATTAAGTTATATAATATTTTACAGCAAAAGATGACTTTCATTGTCTAAAACAGTGATAAGTATCCATTTTCTGTAAATAGGCTAACAATACGAGTTGACCTGTATACGAGTTGGTCTGTGTACGACTTGACTGTAAATCAGTAAATGTATACCAGTCCACCTTGTGTGTGATAAGGCATCGATAAGTATGATTACTTCACATTGTGTTGAATTATTAACAATCAATTATCATAGTAGTATAATTAGGTAGGTAAATAAAGCTATGTAGGTAATTAAAGGTACCTAGCAATATCTAGTGATTGTACTGGATCTGGTATTATAAGCATTGATTGTCATTATATTATGACCTCTTTTTATATACAGTTCATTATATATTTTCTTTTTTAGAATTATGTTTTGCATTGAATGTGGGGTGGTTTTAGGCCCCACAAACAAGTTTTGTGGTTCATGTGGCGCCCCAGTCTGTGTCAAAAGGAAAGGTAATAACGATAGTGTAGTATTATGCTAGAGATGCATTATACTGTAGGTCAATGAAAAATAAAGTACATATTAGATAATATACTAGTCTTGTACATAACCCACTTTGTAACTTATTGTTAATTAATGTATATTGCAGTAACAAAAGAACCTGACACAGCCAAACCAGGGCCATCAAAATGTAAGTTTGATATTAAATAAATACTACTGAAACTTACATATATCGGTTTTAATATGGTCAAAGGAATACTGCAGATGTACATGAGATACAAAAGTACAATGTGCTAAAATACTAATTATAAATAAATATATGCATAGCCTTGTAAATATTTTCAAATTGGTGACCTTTTATTAATTTTCAAAGTATGTGTTTGAATAGCTTACCTATAGATATTTTGATATGCTACTTTGTTTATACTTAATACAGCTTTTGATGAGTCAGCAAAAGGATGCTTCTCGCCAAATGGTAAGTACAGATGATATCCGTGTATGATTCAAAATTACAAAACTTTTTTCTTGGAAGAATAATTATTTAGAAATTGTATTTGTTTAATGACAGCACATTTTACATATATATGTTTTACTTAAAGAAAGAGAAGAATTCATTTAAATTATATATTATATTAGCAGGTAAAATCTATCATGACTATCCTTTTTCTTTAGGAAGTCCATCTTTGCATAAGAAGAGAGAAGGTACAGTAAATTATATGTTATTGGTAAATTATGAGATAGAAGTCACATTATGATGCCAGTGCTGTATGTTCATAAACAATGCAAATTTTTATTAGAGAAAATCTGGAGACATATAGAGTACATCTGAATAATTAAATGATTTCTAAAAGAACTATGTAGATGCTAAGTTTAGACTCTTGCCTTCAGTTTCCATTTTAAGCTCACCTGAACCGAAGGTTCAAGTCAGCTTTTCTGATCACCTGTTGTCCATCAGTCATTTATTCGTCAGTATGTGAACTTTCCATATTTTTTAAAATCTTCTCATGTTGTCCTCAACCTAAGTCATACTACATACGGTAAATCAAAGATGCAATAAAGGGCAATGTTCTATTTTTTCTTCTTCAGAGGTACAGTCCAAACTTGACTTTTTAAAGGCCAAGTTTTTGGATAGTAAGAAAAAAATGTCCAGCAAAAGATTAGGTGGACACACTAAATCTTCAGGGTTGGAGGTAAGAAATTAGGCATCATTGAATCCAGCTTAAATGTGTGTAGTTATTTATGAACTATTTTGTCTTTGTTTGATCAGATATTTATAATAGGCTATCAGTACTGTATGTAGGAAACAAAATATGTTTAAAAGGTGTAATGCACAACACTGGTCCTTCAGACCAATGGTATATATTTATCTTCAGGTCAATTTTGGTGTATAGTTGATCAGAGCTGAATCCCGTCAATTTTAATCTTACTCCATGGAACATTTTTGCAAGGGCTGGATAAAATATAAAATGTGCTGATTTCATGCACGAAGGCCTCCATTTTTAACTATTTAGTAATCATAGCATGTTTCTTTTTTACATGTATACTGTGCATGATTGTTCTATTAAAAAGGGATATTTTATTTATTTTTAATTACCTGGTAATTGAAATGCACTAACTACTAATCTTTTAATTACATAAACAGATTTTGGAAGTCCGTTTTTTGGACAACCGTGGAAAGAGGCTGCAGAGGGTGATAAATGGCAGCTCGTCATTATTACTGGAAGTGGAATCTTCCAGTGCCGTCCCGGAGTGGATGGCTCTCTTAAGTGCAAAGTTCAAGACACAGATTCCTATGGAAGCGATGGTATTTAAAGAGCACAAATTCATTGCACTCAAAGATACGACAAGCGTAGAAGATTTAAAGAACCTATCGAAGGGAAAGAGGAAACATTTTGGTTTTTTTGTTCAAGTGCATGCCTGTAAGTAATTGTAATTGATTACTATAAGAAAAGAACAATGTGTTAAATACATGTGTGTGGGTGGGTGGGTGTGCGTGTGTGTTATGATATATAATTCTTCAGTGTGTGATATTACATATGATAGTGCAGGGATTTGCTTGAAAGAAATTGTGCTTTTTGAAATATATGCATGTTTTAAGTTACGGTATAATGTATGTATTTCTTAAATGAACCAGAATCAGCTACTTTTTAATACAAAGATAAGTTCTTGTAATTTTGCAGTTACTGTAAGGATAACAAGTAATTGTTATAGTTGACAGGAATCATGAAGCTACAGATTGATTTATATATATTTTACAATACTAAATTGTTAGAACATTTATAAAAAAAATTAGTGTCACAGAATCATGAAAACAATTTGAAAATGGCTCTTGATTAAAGAAAATATGCAAGAAAAGCTTAAATGAGTTTGATAAACCATAAAGAAAAAGTATAGAAAATAAATTAGGAAGGAATGAGTGCATGGCTATGTTGAATAAGGCTGTCTCTTCCAAAATTGTGAATTCCATGGCCCCAGGGTCAGGGGTTCTAGTGCTAGGGCGGGGCTATATAGATTATATAGTAAAAAATGAATTATTTCTTTGAAAATTTTCTTCTTTGCTCCTGAGTATTAAGTAAACTAACCACATAATTACATAAGTACTTAATTATGTTGAATAAAGCTACCTCTTCAAAAATTGTGAATTTCATGGCCCCTGGGTTGGGGATTCTGGCGTTAGGGTGAGGCTTTATTGAATATATAGTGAAAATGCATAAATTCTTTAAAACTCTTCTTTTCTGCACCTGAGCATTTAACTAATAAACTATGTACATAGTTATGAGGAGGAAGAATGCCTCTTTGAGATTTTTGAATTTCAGGGTCCCTGGGTTAGAGATTCTTGTGTTAGGGGGTGGGGGGGGGGGGGGGGCTCTGATGTTTATATAGTGAAAATGCTTGAATTCTTTGAAAATCTTTTCCTTTGTTATTTGGTATAATGCCAATGATCTTAGTATATATTTATGAAAAAACTGCTTCTTCCAAAAATGATTAATTTCCTGTCCCCTGGGGCAGAGGTACTTTGGGGTGGGGGGGGGGGTAACATAGTCTGAAATAATTTAATGCTTTGAAGTTTGCACTTTTGGTATTAATCAACAGCATGATGAAATGAAATTTTTAAAAATTTCCAAAATTTCGAAAGATGTGGCCCCAGGGTCAGTGGTTCCTGTGGGATGGGGAGCTCAACTATGGACCCGCCCTAACATAAGAAGCCCTGACCCAGGGGCCATGAAATTCACTAAAAGTGGAAATGCATTTTCTCTTTGTTGCTCTGATCTACCTCTGGGTTTTAAGTAACCAAAATTAGCATGCTGAGTGTATAATTATGATAAGCAATGGTGCCTCTTTCAAAATTGTAAATTTCATGGCCTCTAGTTTAAGACATGAATCAAATTCAATTGTTGGAAAGTTGTTGCATGATACTCAGGTGACCTATAAGGCCCATGGGCCTCTTGTTATGAAATTATTGGGCTATAGGCTTCAAAATGTAATGTTATCACAGACAAAGAGAGTTGAAAGTGTAAATATTTAGAAATAGAATATGTACATAGAAAAGAAATAAATGCATAAAATCCAAAGACCACGAAAGGAAAACTACACATCAAAACTACACGTCGAGTTTCATGTGTGCAATTGGGTGTAACTTAATTGAATGGTTTATTTAACTGTGTGATGGTGCCCATTTACGAGTAGGGTTCAGCTTTAAATTGCCCTTTCAATAAATCTTATAGGTATAATCCCTGTTTGCCCTCAATAGATTTGATGATTTGGATTTAAATTTTTAACTTACTTGCAAGGTTAATTGTATTATAATGAGTAATTAATGCAGTGCAAATCAACACAAAGTACAACAAGTCGTGCAAGTTATTATTAAGTAATTATTTTATATTCTTTTCAGAGCGTTTTCAGCTGGATATGCGTGGAGGTCGATCCTGAAATTCTCCCCCCCGTTTTCCACTTGGAGTGTCGCACACCCACCAACTGCCCTAACCCCAGTTGCCCGCACATTTATGAACTAAAAAACAACTTCAAAGTGAAAGTGGGGGACTTGCCAAATATATTATACCTGCGTGAAGGGGTAGGTATTTCAGAAACCATCATTAATTGACAATGCCCACTAAGAATTGACAATGCCCACTAAGAAAATGCATTTTATACTTGCATATACATTGCTATCACAAAGTAAGGTTCTTTATCATTTTGTAATGAAAAGTTGAACACAAGCAAGAATTGCTTTTGCATGAACAGACATAAATTAAGTCTCATAAAAGAATTGATACAAAATTTGAATGAAATTACATGAGGAAATTTATTCTTCTCTTTTTTTTTTAGTATTTTGCCACAGAAGAAACTTTCACTGGATTTGGGGATGTTCTCATGTAACAAGAGAATATAAATTTGTAGCAGGTTTTTTTTTCTTTTCCCCATCACATTTGTATAGAGTACCATTTTTCATTATTGAGCACTTGATATCATTATGAGCAGAGATTTTTTTTCATAGACAGCAATATGGCTGCTTTGTATCAACCATTAATAGAGCGAATAAAAAAACAGAAAATATTATCAATGCATGGATTTGGAAAGGATTAATGTTTGGAATGATCCTGTACAATTTAATAAACATAAGAAATAACACAATATTCATTTTCTTCTTTATTATATCTTATTATTATATCAGTGATCAACTGTTTATCCTCAAATTGAATGTAAAAAGTGGGTATCTTGACAGAGGAACTATTAAAAATGAATCAAGGTCAGATATAACCAATGTACTATTATTTTTGTTCTCCATCGCCCCAAAGGGAATTTTTCACTAAATCCACTTTAATGTGGATAAAAGTACACGATCAAAATACACCTTTTTAGAATTTTAAAATGGTACCTATTTGACCAAAAAGAGTCTTTAAAATATTTTTGGAAAAGTCAAAATTATAAAAGCCCCAGCAGTATTGGAACTCGTGACATGAAAGATTTGTAGACAAACCGATTGTTATATACCGTTTGGTAACAATTATGGGTAAGGAATGATTCATAAAATTATACTTGATTCTTCTGGTATATTTTGATCAGGACAATATCCAAAATATGGAGGCATCCCATTACACCTGAACTTTTTTTTTATTTTGATACTGAAATTTTGACCTTTACAGAGTATCAGTTCACTAATCCTAGTTTCAGAATCTGATTCATTCAAGTATTAATCACTTTCAAATATCGTTAATCCAACATCTATTTATATTATTATATTGCTTAATCTAGGTTGAAGGACTTACAGTAAAACTCAAATACAGCTTTTTTTTATTATAAATTCATACTTCATTAAAGCAAGTTTTATTAATGCATTGGTAAGTTAAGTAGATGTATTGAAATAACCAACCAAAATCACTTATACATGGTGCTTCACTGTAATCATGTTGTACTTGGTTAGAACGTGAGTTTTTGGCCAAAAAGTTTCGTTTGAAATTCAGTCAAGTTAAACATTAACTTCATTACTATCAAGCGGCATGGTCTCGCTTATGGTCAAATTTGATATTTCTGCTTTCATTTTTGACAATGCTTTAAAATGCATTTCTAATTATAAACCAACTTTGAGCGTCAGTTACAGATATGAGCAAGATACAGATCTCAAATTTTTCTGTCATGTAAACAAGGCTCCGGTCATGTTTTTGTTTCCATTTGGTCAAAATAGCGAAAAAAGATCTTTTTCAAACTGATTTTTCTTTCTTCTGATTAGTTTTGAACATAAACAAGTAGTTTCTAGCATTTGTCGGATTCATTTTAGGTCTAAACCTGGAAAATTCAAAATGTAAACAAAAACATAACTCGAGATTTGTTTACATAACAAAAAATTGTGTGCTATGTATCTCACTTACAACTTGACGACCGATGTTCAAATTTTGGTTGAGCATTAGAAATGCCTTACTTAAGTATTTACATTATAACTTTTTAAGCACTCTTCAGTAGTGTCACATTGTCAACAAGTTGTGAAATTGTTATCTGGGAGGCATAGTAGTAAGTTGCAGGACTCTTTAAATTTGCATTCACTGGTTAAACTCCCAAGTAATATAAAGAACATTAAAAGAACTACTGGATAATATAAATTAAAATTCAATGCATTGATATTTTTTTTTATTGTTTTTTTTTTTTTTCATTTGTACATGTTTTACAATTCCCATCCCATATAATATGTTTCCTGATGATGTACAATGTACATGTACTTGATGTGTACAAACAGATGTTCATAATTAAACATACACAACCCAGAATTTATAGAATATATTATTAATTATAAGAATAGGATATAAAATACCCCCCCCCCCCCAAAAAAAAAGCAAAAAAATTAATGATATATTTGGTGTTCCAATACATCTTTGAGTGCAATATACATAGTTCTGGCTTCTAATATTGTTGAAGGACGGTAATAGTCTGAGATGATGTCAAAAGCTTCCTAAATGTCATCTTCCAAGTCATTTTGAAAGCAGCATTGAGATTTCAGAAAATGAAACCGCTCATCATTAACATCGATATAATGAAGATAATTTTGGCACTGTGGATTGCCTGAAATAAAAAATGAAATAAAACATCATACACAATTAACTAAACATGTTTTTCAGTTTTCAATATAAAATTCCTTAGGAAAAATTCTTACATTTCATAGGAAAATACTTTGTATATATTAAATCATTTGTGACCTTGTTGTTCTTAAACGATGTGTTTCATAAGACATAGGTAAACAATTGCAATTTTTTTCTCTTATAAAATTATTACACAGCGAAACAAGTCATTTTCTTGTGGGTTAAGCATCTTTCAAAGTCAAGACTTTCTGATCCGCTCCGCTCTACATAAACCCTTGACCGAATAGGCAGTGTTTGGCTGGGTTAGAAACCTCGCACGCTGGTTGGTGTCGTACAAGTTTGCATGATCCAATAAGAAACATGGTTTCAATAATGATGTTAATTGTGCATTGATCAATGTTGAATCATTGTCAAATAAATTTGAGACGAACTGCCTATTCGATCAAGGGTTTATGTAGAGAGGAGCAGATCAGAAACTCTTGACTTGGAAAGATGGGGTTAAGAGGTTATATATACATGTATGTCAACATATTAAATGATCTTTTAAAAAGAGACTTTAAATTTCATGCATTTTTAATTCCAACAAATTTTTAACTAAAAGATACTCTGACAGGGGCCAAAATTTTAACTTTCTTTAATTGTTACTATAGATATATACATGTACATGCTACTTTAACACAAGAGGAATGGGGAAATGTCTGGTATAAAGCTTTTTTTGTAACACAGTTCCTTGTAAGCAACTTATGATGAAATTTCTTGATTTTAAGTTCATTTATACACAATTTTCTATGAGAAAAAAAATCAGTTAACAAATGTACAAAAGTCTGTTGATCCAGCATTGTAGTCTTTAACAGTGTCCACAAGAGTTACATATAAAAAATTGAATCTAAAGAACTTTCAAATACAAACCTATTTTTACTTTCAGCAAAAAAAAATATGTGAACCGAAATTTGATCACTTTGTAAATGATTCCAGAATCAAAACAAGTAAACTGACCTAACATTTCAGGAACATGATAAAGGAGCTCAGGTATCCCAGGAACAATATCACCTGATTTTTGTTTCCTGATTCTGTGGTTATTCCAGGCAAATTTCACTTCTTCCAATTCTTCTCTGATAATCTGCATGTAGCAGTACTGAACTAAAGTTCTGAAATGAAACTTGATATTAGTTTCTTGGCTTCAAACATGGATCTGATTGGTTCATTAGCTTTTGATACTTTTGATATTGAATTTAAACCACACATATTTGTGTGATATACTGACAAACCGGTAGCAACTGACAAAGCAAAGACAACAGAAAATATAAACAACAAGAGGCCTTGACAGTCACTTGAGTCCCATAACCCTTAGATTGACATGTCAGAGTCTCATGTTTGCATTTTCAGCTTCATTTTGAGTTCTAAACCCTTTCTATAACATTTTTGTAAACAATATTTTCTATGAAAAAATCAATAGACATTCTTCCAAATCTAATGTGAGGAACAAGTGTATTCCAACAAACAGGTTCAGCTCTATTTTCAGATTTCATCCACATAACAACAAATTTGAAGAGTTTTTCTTCATGAATGCACATTGAGTCTCTTTTGATTAAAAGAATTAACAGATCTTTATGAAATGTACAAAACAAGTCTGCATTTTCTCTGATAGACATAATGTTTTCTAAATAATTGTCAATAAATGACAATGCAGATGACAAAACATTTTCTATGCTAAATGTAAAAGCCATATTCAGGATGGAAAAAACATTTTCAGATGATATTGAACAGAGCAAAAACTCTTCACACTTCTTTCTTAAATCAGGAACGATGTAGAAATCTGCAATTTGTAGAATGTCCTGTACATTTTCCATTGACAGATCAATATCTCTTTGGTAAAGAAACTTAATCATCGACCGTGTAAGGCCTGCAGAAAAATCACTGCAATTTACTTCATGGTTCCCTTTTCCACTGTTCCAATTTCCATTTAATCGGGTATGAAAGTATTGACAACCAATGACCAACACTAATGAATGTGCACACATGAAAGTTCCATCAGCTAGTGTGATACGTACGTCACAATGTTCTTCATTTTCAAACGCCCTCACAATTTTCTGCCCAAGTTTTGCCATTCTGATAAAATTAGTCAAGTTAACATATCATTTAGTTCCGACTTTTACCCCTTTCCAATTGCAACCACATTGGTTAATCAACTCTTATGTATTTAAGTCAGGTTACAGTGGTTGCTGGAAACTTAGGTTAAGAAATACATGTAAATATAGGTACTAAGGGTTAAAATTAGGTCAGTGCTGGGAATTGAGTAAATTGGGTTTGGATTAATTAGAGTTTAAGGTTAGTTATGGTTTTGCTTAGTGTTTGGGATTTGGGAGAAGGGTTAGGTTGGGTTTATAATTAGTTAGGATTTGGGGTCAGGGTAAGGGTTGGGATTTAGATTAAGGTTAGTTGGGATTGGGATAAAGGTTAGTTGATTTTGGGATAAAGGTTAAGTTTGGATTGGGATAAAGGTTAGTTAGGGTGGAAATAAACGTTAGGGATTACTGTTAGTTAGGATGTGGGTTAGTTAGTGTTTTAGATTAGGGAAAGGGGTTAGGTTGGGAATATGGTTAATTAAGATTAATTGGTTCATTGGGGCTAGGGTAAGGATTGTAACCAATGTAACCGAATGACACTCTGCAAATCAGTTAAATTACAGCCATTATGTATATTACAAAATAGTTATAATAGAAAATATACTATATGTCTCGCCATTAAATCAGATACAACTAACCCAATCACAGGTACTTGGGTCGTGGTTTATAATATAAATATGTATGAGGGTTCATACATATTTATATTATAAACCACGACCCAAGTACCTGTGAACCCAATGCTACATTTTGTCACAAGAAATAAATAAAGCTGTAACATAAAGCTATAGCCATGGTAACTAAATAAAACAATATTACTGATCTAACACTTGTTTGTCATCTCTGTTACTAGTATTATTGTCAACATGAAAATGAGTTGTATAGATTTAAGTTTTGTAACATGATTAAATAAAGCCATTAAGTAATGTTGGGCCAAATAAAACAAAAATTTAGTCTTACTTCATGTTATCTTATTTATCAGAAAACAGTCTTGTTAATTAATGGTTAAAAATGAAATGGGGTTAAAGTCAGGACTAGCAATGAATTTATTACAGGTAGAGGGCAAAGTCCTTACCAAATGGTCCATGATGGAGAAATTCTCCCTATTTTGACAACTATTTAAAGGTCACCAGGTTTATTAAGTATGCCACTTTTAACAAACCAAAGAAATAGATGGGTGGATCTAACTGTGCATGTTTCAAATGAGTAACTCTATATCGAAGAATTACACAAATAATCATTATTATACTTTCATGTTAAATACTAAACTTAAACACACAATACTAATATGTCATAAAATATGAAGTGAAATGTATAATAAATGCATGTTTCTGCATTATCTAAACTGTAAATATTAATCTTGTGAGAATTAATTTTTTTCTGTTTCTAATGTCAAAGAAAGCGGCAAAAAGAGGAAAACATGAAATGCATACGGTCTTTCTTTGATTAAACAGATATATTTTTATCCATATTTTTCAAATAATAGCTATATATTCGTGACATACAACAACAAAAAAAAAAAAATCCCTACCTGTATGTGGGTCTCGACCCGTGGCCAAGCAAGCATATGATTATTGCCGCGCTTCTGCATCCTAAAAATTCTTGGCCGATTCTTGATCTTTTGAAATCTTGGGAAATTAGTCTTTGTCTTTTGAAATCTTGGGAAGTGAATCTTGACTGCGTTTGGAAGTAATGTATCTTGGCGCAATGCTATCTTGGCCGAATCTCGGTCCTATAAAATCTTGGGAAGTAAATCTTGACTGCGTTTGGAAGTAATGTATCTTGGCCAATGCAATCTTGGGATAGAAAATCATGGCCTAGTCAAGATGTAAAACATGGGATATATCTTGACTAAGCCAGGGTTGTCAAATCATGACCGGCAAAGATAAGAAGGCCATGTTATGCTATCAAACCAAACCTGACTTGGTCAGAGTTGCAATCATAACATGACCGATTGAATTACTATGAATATATAGAACATGACCGCCCAAGATTGAATTACTATGAATATATAGAACATGACCGCCCAAGATTGAATTACTATGAATATATAGAACATGACCGCCCAAGATTGAATTACTATGAATATATAGAACATGACCGCCCAAGATTGAATTACTATGAATATATAGAACATGACCGCCCAAGATTGAATTACTATGAATATATAGAACATGACCGCCCAAGATTGAATTACTATGAATATATAGAACATGACTTGGGAGTCCCGTGTGGCCGATCATGACTTGGCCGGGATTGTAAACATGACCGCCCAAGATTGAATTACTATGAATATATAGAACATGACCGCCCAAGATTGAATTACTATGAATATATAGAACATGACCGCCCAAGATTGAATTACTATGAATATATAGAACATGACTTGGGAGTCCCGTGTGGCCGATCATGACTTGGCCGGGATTGTAAACATGACCGCCCAAGATTGAATTACTATGAATATATAGAACATGACTTGGGGGTCCCCTGTGGCTTTCCATAGAATGCAGACAGATATACCGTTTGAGTTTATTCAAGCTAAAAACTGTTTATTCACAGGGCTTTTGAAAAGGATAAAGTGTTAATAAAGTGTGTCAAATATTGCATGCTGTCAGAACTATCTCAAACTGAAACACCGTGTGTGTTAAAGGAAAGATGATCATTATAGCATTCTAAGATACTCTAAGTACACAATGAATTATTCCCATTTGTTCTAATTCATATTACAAATCTCAAACTTTACCTAAATGACCCATGCTTGGTTATATAATTTCTAGCTAGTTTAACTGATTCCGGCCCCTACCTTTCTGTCACTCCCAAACCAACAATCTGCATTTGTCAACGCTCTTAATCAGAAATTTGAATTCTGAAATTAGTTACTATACAGGTACACATAACTGAAGTTTTCTTTATCTTTCTTGTGCTTCTCTAGCTTTATATATCTTTTACTCAAGTAATTATTCTTTCTTTATTTGTCCAGAATTAAACTCTTGAACTTCTTAAACACTGTTAACTTCGATCTAAGACCAAATGTCCAGGAAAGTGAAATTTTTCACGAAGGTTACAAAGGCAGCTTCATTTTAACCTCTACATATTAATTCAATTAAAACATATGGAATGTAAGAATTAAAAGTATATGCTAAAATAAGGAAATATAAATCCAATGAACTTTTAAAATTGTTATAAATAAAAAAAAATAACACTAAAGATTGCAGAAGCTTGGTGTAGTATTGACAGTATTTTTTCAGTGTAATAATGTGTAGTTAAATAAAATGTGACAAATCTTTACTTGGATTCATTGACTGACAAATTCAGGACAACTCTAACATAGGTCGATGCACCAAAAAAGCAACAAAAATCTGCAATCTAGTGGAGTCAGATAAGAGTTTACCTTTCAAGTCTATAAAAGAAACACGATAAGCTAAGAATCTGTCAAACTGGTATAGATTCTTAAATGTAGCGATTTCCTAATTGTCGGCGTTTTGACTTAAGAATGGACTCTCTGATTTCCTTGTCGGCGTTTTGACCTGTAGCTGGTTTTTCTGGACCTCTGTCGTCCTATCTTGGTCCCACACAAAGCCAGCCCCTGTCTGATATACGTATCATTAATTGATCACCTTTTCAGTGTTTACCCCGTCTAGCTTTGATTTCATTAATAGGTCGGGACTAGTGCTTACTACACCTTGGTTATTCTGGTTATGTTTGGTTTGTTAGGTATCGGGAGATATGGTCAATTGTTAGTTATCCTTGACACGGATAACCATCTCAGGTCAAGAAAGTCTGTAGCTATTCAAGTTGTGTATGCGTGCTGTATACCATGCATGTTCAATGCTTCTTAAAAGGAACAGAGTTTGTAACATGAATGATATACATTTATTTCAGTGGCTTTATACCCCAGACATCATGTGGAACTAAAATTAAAACATGATTAATCACAAATGATGAAAGCATATCGAATTAATAATTCAAAATAGCTGGATGCGTGACTTATACAAAATTTTTATCTTCGAAAACGAATTCAATAATGGTGTTTATCGAACCAGTTAAAGGAAAAATTGGATTTTTTTTTTATTCATGCATATTTTCCATGATTTATGTCCTTGTTGATTTTGAATTGAAAAAAAAGTGCTTATTTATTGAAACTAAAAGCATTCTAATAAGCATTGCCCGTTGTGCTTGAATTGGAAATTGTTGGTCTAATAGTCACAAAAGATGCGTTTTACGGTACATTAAATTTAACGCGTTTCCGCGTATGAAATGATCCACAATTTGCCTTGATATGTTTAAGTTTATCTCCATGTGTAATATGTTTCTTTCCTCTTCAAGGTTCAATATTCTATTGTTTTGTTTTTTGAAGTTGCTAACGACTCATTGACAAAATCCTTCATTTTCTGAGATACTAAGCCTTTGTTTCACACGTGTGATAGAAATGCCGATTTCATGGTAATTGAAACCACTGATGCCTTCTGTCAACAACCGATCGCAAGCTTCTTTCGCACATTGGCATATAGATATGGACATCTTGCGTACTTCTGGCACTGGAAGTCCGACTTACTAACTGTGCAAATTAATCAAGCGCTTTTTTTTCTTTTGTCACTTTCCTGTCACCCCTAACTATCTGTTCAATACCAATGTCTTTCTGAGAGCTGCTATTTTACTAGCCATACTGACACTTCATAAACTATGTGAAATCAATTTTTATTACAAAGAATGTTGATAATTTTCTAGCATAGTGACACTTAACTTATTTGCACAGAAAAGGTTGATAACTTTATATACTAAAGTATATAGAGCATTGAAAACATAAAATTGAAAATATATCCACAGATATGAAATGATAAATGTCTTAAGATTAACAAGATCAAAATTTATCTCCTCAAACGAGAGAATACGATCATATTGGACAGGATGTGAATAAATACATGACCATGAAATTTTTGTTTGCATTTAATGTTTAAAGCAACATTTTCAATAGGCTTTCAATCAAACGGGTACCTGCTACGATAACAAGGGCATATAATTTAATGATTTCTCTAAAATGCGAATACCTAAACGTGTTGATCATCGACTTTACTCGTAAAAACGTATAATTCATAAAGCCCCGACTTTTATAAAGTTGCTTTTTCACATTGACATGCATGTATAAGACAGTATATATATCTTTGTATAGAGGTGCATCTAACAGCAGTATGTCATTAGAAATTCAATGCAGACTGATTTATCAGCATGAATATCTGTTAAGGATAACTTATCTGATTTTGCCCAAACTCCATGGTCTAGATAACTATCTTGTCAATGGTGTCGTCTCAACGTATACAAATCTAGAACAACATATATTCTGTAGAGTGGTCATGTTTCGCAAATACATATATTTCTAATATACATTTGTTATCATGTGAAGTTTACATGTGCAGTCCAGGGATAGATTTGTTTAATTTCGCAAATTTTCAAAGATTATGCGTTAGTTGTATGACTTAAAATAAGTACACTATACTATCTGAAAATATAAAAGAGTCGAAATTAAAAGCATTGAAATATGATGCATACCATGTTCAAATGAACACACATCTTTTTGTGGAATTGGCCTTGAAATAATGTTAAAAACTACTGAAGATTTTTAATGTTAAGGAATAATCTGAGTGCATGCATTTAAAAGATTTTGCCTTGTCATACATTTGCTCATCATTGTGTGATATTTTTGAACAGCTAATGCAAAGCTTAAGTGTTCGTCTGAGCCCTAAATTGCAATAGCACTTTCCCATAGTCTTCAATTAAATGACTCTTACGGTTCTAGGTCCTATAATGGAGAACAATAACTAAATGGCGGTTAGTTCATACCTCAATATCCCCATAATATACACTCGAAAATTTGCTTTAAAAAATACAGAGAACCCTTTTTTACTTTTGAAAATATTCTGTATGAAATCGAATGCTCCTTGGGCATAACAGGCAATATTCCTCCTTTTCAAGTATTGATATTTAGTTGAAGTTTAGTGCTCTTATGAAAAGAATCTGAAAAGAAGGTGGTTTGTTGTTGTATGTTGTCAAAATGCTGTATTCGCCTTTTATAAATTGTCTAGTAACAGAATTCAGATATGAAGAAAAAAACCCAAGAAACACGGAAATTGACCTTCAGCAAACTGCGTTTTCAAGGTTCCCTTGAGGTTCTCATGAAGCAAAACTTTTCAATTAATTATATTCCGTATACTTTATGAGTTTTAATTTTCTAGACTGATCACTTAAACAGGCTAAAACTCGACAACTCGACTGAAATTCAGTAAGTACCTCTAGCAAAGTTTAGGACTGGCACTCTGTGTGATGGGTGAATTAAATGCATGTCCAAATAATTATTTAATGCAGATTAAGATGATGATTAAAGAGTGTTTTATGGTGAAGTTTAGACGTGTCTCTGCTCGTAAAATATTCATTGGTTCTTTTTTTTCAACAGTTCTGTAAACTGCAAAGAAGCCTTCGGATTATTTACTTCAATTTCCATTGCAAATAGTAAACACTTCAAACCAATACAGACAGACAAAGCATTTTAAACATTTCTTTAAAATATTGGCAAACACAAGTTTGATGTAGATCTCTCTAAATATATAGACATTATTTGGCCAGTATGATTGTAGATTACAGAAACGGACTTTCATTACCAAACTAATTATAGTTTTATTTACTATATGTATATTTTGTCTTAACAAAGCAATGTAACAGATTTGTCGAGCATAAGAATATAAATTAGAATATGTATTAATAAGATTAAAGAGGATTATACATATGTACCTTCTTTTTGGCATACACACTAATCCTCAGAATTTAATCTGGACCAGGAGATATTGTTAATCCATTTCTTATATATTTATTATTTACTTATCTAAATTATAACAATGGTTATCCATGTGTACTTACGTTTGTGCAGTAATTTCTTTTTAATCGGATTATACTAAAGACTTTTCCCCTCTGTTAAAGGTTTAATTAAACACGCAGCTATGTACTAATCTAAGGCTGTTATGAATATTAACTGCATTTCCCAATCTTTCTGGGTTTAAATTTGTGTAGTAAAAGCATTATTCAATAGTGTGATAAAACTTAAAAAGAAAAAAGATTTTTCTTTGACCTTTTTAACCATCGACTTTAAAGAGGAAATGTAATTATTTGTTTTATACTTGACCATTTTAAAACAGAATATATATATATAAATAATGTTTTAAGTAACCTCGGAGCATGTTTATTGGATATAGAATACAGGCCTGTAGAATGCGCGGGGGGGGGGGGGGGGGGGGCAGGGGCAGGGGGACCGGACTGAGGATATTACTAGTATTTTGCTATAGTAAATTTTCCTTTAGATGCTGGTCCCCCCCCCCCCCACTTTTTGATGTTGTAAGGTCGAGCACTGGCAAATTCCAGGATTGGGACAGTAAATTTTTTTTTTGCTTGACAGATAATTTTGGGAAGTTGCTCCCCCCCCCCCCCCACTTTTGGTCAGTTTAGGTGCTTTTTTTTCTTGCTTGTCAGATTTTTTTGTGGGAAGTTGTCCCCCCCTCCCCCACTTTTGAAACAGTTGCTACGGGCCTGGTATACTTTTCCCCAACCTTATTAATTTCAGAACACGCTTCTCCAATACCATGAGATATCGCAGGTACATTTTATTATCAAGTTTGCCTCTGTGATCTATACATTTACTGTAGCTCAATGGAGAGCAGTCCAGTAGTGGATGGTTCTGGGTTCAAGTCCTAGCGGTGAAAAGTAATGGTCCAAGGCATAACTTGGAGTTAACTGTGCACTGTGATAAAACTAAAGTATTACTCGTATTGTTTCAGTTTTTTCACATGAAAAAATATAAATATATGTTTGACAAATTTTTCTTTAACTTCAGTATTTGAAACCATACTGTAAATAAAAATTTTATAAACTCTGAAAGAAAAACAAAATGTCAACATATGCCAGGTAACACTAATTCAAACATTTAAAATTTTCTCACGTCAACACAGAAATGACTAATATGCAAAATATTTGTTTGGCTCTGTGAACTAACGGGTGAACCCCATTGATGAATCAGAGGCTTTACCAACTAATGGACTGTTTTCATTTTTCTCTATGAAGATCATCTTCAGCTGCCCAGCCGACGTGGCCTCTAATTCATTAACCGAATATCACAAAATTTGGCAAGGAATAAGGAATATCGTTATATATAACAACATGTAAATAATAGAAAAATACCGGCTGTAGAAGGAGAGACATTAGGCGGTGAATGCTAGCATGAGTAGCTCCGTAATTTGATGAACAAAATGTAACACATTTCTGAATCTTGAGACTACCGACTCGATACAGTGTCAAAACAAAGGCCGAGAGCCATATAAAATCTTATCTCTTTTTTTCCCACGAAGTGGGTAGAAAGAAGATTTTGAATGATATCGTACAATTATCTGACTAATTGATCACATGCTAAGTAACGGTGACCCATTCCTTGTTACTGAATCTTTACAGCGCTATCAAATATATCTTACAAACGTTTAGTTACGGAGTTATTGTTTTGTAGCAATCTGATCGAATTCTTAAAAACTAATCAAAAACCCCATCTTTAGATGGGTCAATGAAGCATGTGTATTATACAAATCACGTGACTACTATGACGATGATGACAACCGTCTTGAATTAATTTTCTTGTAGACATTGACAATATATAAGAAATGACTGGTTCAAGGCTAAAATGTATATTAGGTTAGAACTCACAATTACTTATTAACGAATATCTTTCCAATATGTATCTGAAATGACACTTCTGCCATCTTGTAGTAATTATAATTTCTCTGATTTCCACGGCAACGACGTGACGACTTGGTGGAGGCACGGCAAACCTGCACATTAACACAAACGTAAGCTGCCTACCTAATCGACAGCAGGTTTTGGTCAATGTCGTTCTACCTTAACTATCACCTGTAAAAGTACACGGTGCCTTTGATGTCTCATATACTAGTACTTCATCTACTAAACTTCCATAGTTTTGATGGGAAAACGGAGGAGAAAAATGAAAGCAAAGAATTCAGATTATTTTAAAGATTTCACAACACTGCCTTTGCAAGTAGTATGTGAAGTACATCCACAAAGATTTAAAATTTATACTTGCAGGGCATACATTTGCAAAAGACAGTAAATTTACCAAACTCTTTTTTTAAATAAATAAAATTACAGTATTTGTAATGTTCAAATACAAAATACTGATCTGTTTGCTCAATAATATCAAGTTTTCAAATATAAACAAATAAATAAATTTAAATGAATGCAGAAAGTATGCAATCTTGTAAAAGATTTAATTTTTCGCTTTTGTTTTCTGTTGATCTATTTGATGTTGTATGAAGACAGATTTTGTGCATAAAATTCAGTGGATCATGCAAGCAGATTTCAGAGATTTTTTTTTTCGGGAAAAAAAACACAATGGCGATTTAATCCTGCATGTATATATGTATGCATCTAAGACCATGAAATTTATGTACTTGAACTAATTTTAGAACGGTTACGAAAGATTTTTATTTAGAATGATCTAGATCTTCGTATTCAATTAAACAATTGTCTTAATGTCTTGAATTATGTTTGGGTGAACATTTGCCTGAATGATAATGAAACGTGCTATTGTCTCCAAGCCAAAATATATTCTTCACATGCTGAAAGTCTCTTAAAAATGCATACTTCGTCACCAGACAAAACAAATATCTTCTCAATAAAACCTCTATTGACTCTCTTTAAACATATGGTCGCAAGGTGGTTTTAAACAGTCGACTCGAAGATAGTTTTGAAAAACTGCAGTAAAAACAATTGCGACCGTCACTCAAAAAATCTGCATGTGTTCTCTATCTGAAGACCTAATTATATTGCTAGGGGATTGTCTCCATGTAGAAGCTGATGTCACAGAATATGCAATATTCTTTGTTCTTGGGTTATTCTGCTATGTTTATTTAGATATCCAATATTGCATTTTGAATGAGAGACCCTCTCATCGTAAGTGGGTACATGGTGTTAAAATTTGTTTGCTTAAATGCCGTGATGGTTATTTCTACCTCGTGCAAACCCAATGAGCCAATTGTTTCTTATCAGATCAAAGCAGACGACAGATTTTCCCGCCTTTTGATTTGCAAAATTACGTGTGTATTGGTGCATTTTATTGCAATAAATTTATGTGGAAATATATTACATGCTCTTAATTTCTAGGGTTGTTACAAGTCTCTGCAAGAGATTCATTTCCAGACCGGGAGTGAATGAAAGCTCTGATTGATGTTGAACGAGTTCATTCAGATACATGTTTTTTTTATATACTTTTTCCGAATTCTAATTTCTTGTGATTTTTCTTAACATGTTAATATTTGCACATATATGTGATACAAAGAAACGCTATTTAAAGCACAGGAGGAAATCTTACTTAAGAACATAATTAATCACCTGATATTTAATTCGGGTTTAATTCACTTCCACCTTGAATTCTTCAAAATATTTTTATGGAACTGTAATGATTAAGGAATATTGAGAAATTGACTCATCGACACCAATGATATTCTGCTAACTAAGTATACTTGACATATTGACATCCATCTTTCTGAAAATATATACCTCGAACTAATTAAAGAAAGTTATACTGAACCTTTTTATTTTATAACTACATTCCTTGTGGCCATAAGTTCGGAATCAATGATTGTTTAATTTTTTTTATGCCGAGTTGGCAGTATTTTTCAGGAATATGCCCCCCATTTCCCCCAAAAGGGCATATAATCATTTTTAAGTCCTTTTTGACTTCTGGGCATATTAACAACAAACAGCAAACAGTATACTGTTCATTAAATATTACGAAATTGCAAAATTATTAATCTAACCCTTCATACTGTCATTTAAACTGTATGACAAATATTGAATTTTAGAAGCTACAGCTGGTATAATATAATAATGCAGTACATTCACTAGAAACATCTGTAAAAATAGCAAAACAATGTACTGGCAATGAAGCTCAAATATCAAGACCATTGCTGATATTCAAGGTATGCGTCTGAGTATATATATTTTACGAATACTAGAACTGGTACTTTTACTCCTACTATGACTCCTACAAAATGGTACTTTGTGACAAAGTGTGTTCAGGTGCTTGTAGGCGGCACCACAATAGTGTTCAACCTTCAGTAATAAAGAAAACTATGGCAACTCGCATTCTATAGTGAAGCCACTGTTCCTTGCTCAATCACTATTCACTCTTTGAAATGAACTTGTCCCCATACTATTCATTTTTAAGGAATCCCTTCCTTCAGACAGGAAACACACAAAAATATTATTTATTTGAATGTTTCAAAATGAAGCTTGAAGTGTAATTTTATTTTAACATGCAACAATTACGATGGTTCTTTTTATGCTTCTCAATATTATCCAAAATACTAACAAGTTTTAAAAACTTTATTTTACGAGAATCGAATTTCCTTTAGACTGGGCTTAAACACCAATGCTTACATGCAATGAAATTGGATGCGATCTGTGATATCTTATTGTTATTAACACAACGTACTTTTTTAAGAATTGAAATTATTAAGAAGAACTAAATACCACTTTAGTATCAAAACCGTTTTTTTTTTTCTCGGATACCTTAAGCTTTTATTCCTAAAATATATTTGTTGATCGTTTTCATCTTTAAAAAATGCATAATTGATGGTTTATTCACATTTCCTTAAAAATATATATGATATTTTGTAATTTGTAAAGAATGATTAACTATTGTAATTACGAACATGGAAGAAAATACCATTAGTATCGTAACACGTTACTTTGTGAATTCAGTGAATTCTTGTGAGTATTTTTCAGTTACCTACAGTATAACTGTTGAGTTTTGGAACCGGAGGGATGGCTTTATAATTCATCTAGTCTACACTGAGTCTTTTTTCCCCATTACTTCTTCTTTCACAGTAATGATGAAGATGAATGAAATACCAGTATACAAGTACTCTCAAACAATGTAACTTTGTATATTGGCACTGTTACTTGTATATAAACTGTTTTTGTGTTTGTTCTTCCCACTCAGTTACTCTCCGAGTAATGACTGGGGATTTTGTAAGTAATCATAGAAACAACTGTTTTTGGTAGTAAAAACTATGTCTCGTTGTCTTTATTTAATCAAGTCATCAACTCGGATGAAAAAAAAAACAAGTTTACGACCTAAAAAACTAAGTTTACGACAACAGAAAAGCAGCAGAAGACGTTATTGAAATTGACGACATACGCAGACGCCATTACCAAGAACGTGTTGGAGTAGTTTGGATTGTCATTCCGGTAACCGTAACCACAGGTGTCTTTGGAAACTTAATTCAACCACAAATTTAAGTAGAATTCCCAGTCTTGGGAGATAATCTATCTTGCATACATCGAGTGTCGTGATGGAGCGAAGACATATTTTAGTTGGCAATTGGTTACGCTAATGTTCATTTTACAAGGTTAAGAACACGATATTACTGTAAACAATAAGAAATGACGCGCAAAAGAACTACCTAAAAATTCCTGTTTTGTGGTTCCTTTAAACACTGTGGCATGGAAATGCCGTTATCGTCCTCCTACAAAAACAAGTAAGGATACCTACTGTATGACTATTGCCTCTGTGAAATGGTCTCTCATTCCAGGCGAGAGAAGGTCGCTGACACTACATTACCATTAACCTTCGAAATAATTTGTATAGCAATGGGTTTTTTTAATATTCCAGCCAAACACAACATACGGACTAGCCATGAGTTTCATTCTTTAGTAAGGAAATATTTGATGGTAGATCTCACTGGCAATAGACATCCCATTCTATCTTGATGAAAAGCAATTTCTATATATATTCAATGATCTAAGCCAAAGCCTCAGCAAGCTTGTCTAATCGAAAATTATTCGGATATTGTCTATATTTGGAAAAAAAAACATGCGTTCAAAGTTTTACTGTAAATGAAGATTACATATAAATAAACAATGACATATTGTCATATCAATACAAAGAAGCACACATTGCAATGTGATTTAGTCTAAAATTGTTGATGTCTTGGCTTGTTAGGTTTAGGACCTCAATGACGGGATTCAGACCTAAAGTTAGTAAAATACAAGGGCGATTCCTGTGAGCTTTATACCTATTTGTCTCTCGTTTTCAGATCTTGAAGTTTTATTAAACTATCCATGCAATTTTTAGGGATTGTATTTGTATTATGTATTTGCATGAACAGTATATCATATACATGAAACGATTATCACGATTATTTGTCACAGAATCGGATACCACAGTATATTTCATGTAAATTTAAATATTTCACTTGGTTTCATGCAATTTTGTTTCCATCTTGAGGGATTGATTTATTTTTCAGAATCCCCCATCAGGAGGGAGTAAAATATTTACACACGTGTCTGTCTGCGATATATTAAAACAGATATATTTTCAAACACAGTAAACATTGGCCATTCATAGCCTTTCAGATGTGAAGAGTCTTTCGTCTGAGACAGGATCGCTTTTTGGGATACAAATATTCACGTTTTATTATCTTAAGGTGAAACTTTTATAGCAATGTAAATATTTGAAATCCACGTAATGTTATCAGCAATAAGGAGATCGATTTAGCTGTCAAAAAACATTTCTAATGTGATATAGATCTACTGTTTCTTAAATACCCGCCATAGAAAACGAGAAGTAATTTGACATATTTAGTTTGAGTATCAATTAAGATGGACAAAAGAAAAGTGTTTAATGGTTTTACTGCGTTTTTGATGAATAGAACGTTTACTCAAGAAGAACAAATAAAAGTATCCCCTTCAAAATTAATCCCCCTGTTAAACGTTACCAGAAATTTGATGATATCATTCGATGCCGCTCTTCTAATTAAACGAGTCCCTGAAACTCTCAATTTTTAAAATTTATTGCAACGACCTTAAATCTTTGGAAAATTTAATAAATGTCAATTTCTATATGATTTCTTTCCTTCACATTCCATGACTTTAATGTTACGTTACTGGACACTAATAACAGGAAAATGAATCGGTCCATAGTCCTTCACCATAGTCCTACACTATAGTCCTCGGGAACCCTAGTCCTCTACCATAGTCCTCCACAGTCCTTTAGCATAGTCCTTCACCAATCACCGAATTCCCGCAGATATATGCAAGACACATCGACAATCGTACGGTTATCCGTTTAATTACATTAAAGTACAGTTTATATACAGTATATATATAATTTTTTTTTTGTTGAAAAATTTGCACATTTAATAACTTTAAATTTTTTCGACTTTGCGAAAAATATCACTCTAAAAATCAAGCTAACATTTAGATGTTAATAGTTACCTTGGATCGATTGCATTTAAAAAAGATATGAAAAGTGTCAATTCCTGTAGAAACTTGCCCGCTACTGGCTGCACGCATGCATGTAGGATCACTTATGACACTTTTAATGAGTAACAGCTGTCTTATAATCAGTTATTACCCACATGGATTGTTCATGACGCAGACAGCAGTAAATTTTTTGATATGGACATAGGAAGTTTCCATGTACCACTAATTCTGATGACTTTTACAGATTTTTAGTTTGTTTTGGAATAGAGCATGCTTGATGCAAAATCTTGTATCTTGCAAAAACTCAATCCATAACCAAGAAGTCGTGAAATTCATTTATCAAAATTTTAGCTGAAATCCAAATTTATTTTCAAAATTAGATCATTTTAATAGCATCTTCTCTAGCCATCGTTACCTGGCAACCTGAGTTACCATACTTGGTAACTTTCACCATTCCATTCAAAACATGACTTTGTTTCTTTATCCTCTAGTGCAATTAAATCATGGTGATAACAACAAATTTTGACCTAAACTGACCTATGAAGATTTGTTTTTTTTATGCCACAACTAGCGCTTGGACCTTTATATCAAACCCAGGATGATTGATTTTGCCTGTACACTATTTCTGCATGTTCGTCTGTGCTGTCGGGACTTTTGCGTTATTCAGTGTGATCCACATTTTTCTTGCTGGGAGATTGCGATAATCTCTCCCGCATTGGTTGTGAAAACCTAATAATAACTCTATTCTTGGTAACTAGTCTTTCTGTGAATATGTTTTCTGTTTGTTTATTGATAGGAATTATTGCAGTGAACCTTCAAATAGTCTCAACAATCAATCAAATCTAGTATGTGATAAATTGTTAAATTTCAGAGATAAAGATATTGTTAAACTAATGTTGATTGATTGTTCTTAACATCTATTCAATACAATTTATGAACAAATGTTAAAAAAAACATTGATCGATGATTGTATCAAGAAAATACATGTATTTTGTTAGAGGGAATGGGGATTGTGACGTTAACTTTTGGGCAGTACATTTTTTTCCAGTATAACTTACTATATACTGTACTTCTGACAATATAATATTTGTGAGCACTATGTTTTCCTGGCGGCAAGTACGGTTTTGTCAGCAGCAACAGTTTGCTTATTTTATTGGAACTCAACTTTATTTTATAATAATTCAAATTATATAATCCACAATTTATTGATAAATAGAGCCTGCAGACACTTTTTGCTGCTAATTAAGAAAGATAAACTTTTTTACGTTTACAAATGTAATGAATAAATCGCTTGTCTAGATCAATCAAATCGTTTTGTTTCTTCATGTTGTTCACTGGATTTTGAAATTTACGACCGTGAATAATGTCTGGGGTATTCAAGGTGAAATTGAACATAAAACTCACAATATGACGTAGGTGAGAAATATATAGGACTCACAAAGAAGGGACATTTCCTGGTATCATCAATAACTACTACATTTTCCTTAATTCCCCTTTAAAGTGCTCTATTTGGTAAACGGCGCTTGGAGTGGCAGGTCTTATAACCAATTCTGGTCTAAGGGTATTGCGGGGAAACGAAGACCCTCTTTTGGTATTGAATAGAAGGGTGTTCTTTCTTGTGGCCAAGGTATATCTATCACGTTCGTGAAGCCAAAATTGGTGAGGCTAAGACGAACTTTATACTACTAAAACTTTCAAGGAGTCTCCATTAAAATTATTGTTATAACATTTGAATGAAAATGTTAAGATAAATATAGCACCATAGGAATGTTTTTTTCTTATTGTTCGATGAAAAGGATAGAGTTTTTAATCCTCTTGTGTGAATTACAAATAATTATTGAAACTACATTTTAACTAGGTTTTGTTGCACTTGGGCTCTCCGAATATGAAAACAACTTTCTGACACTTACTTAAATATTTCTTTATTTGATCGAGGATTAATGCGTTTTCTTTGTCTTTTGAGGGTTAATCGCGGTTCAAAATTGTTTGTTTTCTCTTTGATCCAACCTAATTCATCCATTTTACAAGTCTTTTATGATCTTCGATACGAACACAAACCTGTTATTTATTTCATTTCTACAATGCGATTAGAAAAAAGGTACATTTCAAATGACCTCACGCGAGTATGATTCATTTTCTTAAAGAATGTATGTCGCATGAAATGCAGGTGATGTCATAATAAAAAATCTCGAATAAAGCCTTACAAAAATATAATTCAATGGCTTTGAGAAGATTTTTAAATAGCGGTCAGTAGGTAAGAAGAAAATGTCATGATAGCTTACATAGTCTGTAGGTTCTAAATAAAGGTACAAAATAAAGTTCTTAAGAAAACATTGTGGTCAGACTGGAGAGTTTAATATTCGGCTGACATTGAGAAGAAATCTCCCTTGAACACATATCTGAAAAATGAATGCTTTTTTGTTTTTGTTTTTTTTGTGTGTGTTTTTTTTAAAGTCTTATATCTTACATTGGTTTCCATTCGAATGAAAAATATTCTTGTAAAAAACCATATGGAAAATGTTTATAAATCATGAAAGATAATCTGTAACTTTATGCACTATATGTAATATCATGTGCTAATACTAATATTCAGGTAAGACAGTATTTGATATTGAAAGCCCTCCTTCTCAAATCAGTTGCTTTTTAAGATCAGATAACCATTCAGATGCACTGTCAGCCGAGGACATCTGCTCTGTAAAATTAAAATCCACTAAATACGAGTGATTTTTAATCATATATACACACTATAATGAAGTATTTCAAAGTACACATCTATTTATAGTTTTCACTATTTCTAAAAATCAAGTCAAATTTCAAGGTAATCATCAACAGCACATCCCAATAAAGGTCACTATCAACAGCCCATCCCAATCAAAGTCATCATCAACAGCCCATTCCAATCGAGGTCATCATCAACAGCCCATCCCAATCAAAGTCATCATCAACAGCCCATCCCAATCGAGATCATCATCAACAGCCCATCCCAATCAAAGTCATCATCAACAGCCCATCCCAATCGAGGTCATCATCAACAGCCCATCCCAATCAAGAACGTCATCAACAGCCCATCAAAATCAAGGTCATCAGGAACCGAACATCCCAATCAAGGTCATCATCAACAGCCCATCCCAATCAAAGTCATCATCAACAGCCCATCCCAATCGAGGTCATCATCAACAGCCCATCCCAATCAAGAACGTCATCAACAGCCCATCAAATTCAAGGTCATCAGGAACGGAACATCCCAATCAAAGTCATCATCAACAGCCCATCCCAATCGAGGTCATCATCAACAGCCCATCCCAATCAAGAACGTCATCAACAGCCCATCAAATTCAAGGTCATCAGGAACGGAACATCCCAATCAAAGTCATCAGCATCAGCACATCCCAATGAAGGATCAAGAGTTTTAGTACAGACATGATTCTGTGACAGCTAGACAGACAGAACTATGGCAAAACCAATATTCTCATCTCAATGGGGGAGACATAATAATGTTCCACTGAAGTGTAGAATGCATATCAAACGCAACAATATGGAATAAACTTTTCATGGAAACCACTAATGAGAAGAAACTGGTTTATTACATTCAACTTTAACCTTCTTGTGAATAAATATTAAAACTTTAATTCACTGCCAGTTCATTAAGTTTCCCTTATGTAATATGTCCTTTTTCATAAACTGTTTAAACTTTTCTTTTCACATTGTTAATCGTAGGTTCTTTAAGGGGATGATTAAAAGTCTTAAGTTTACTATCGCACTCTTAAGCACTGATGTAATAGTTCACATTTCTTTATATATGTGAATCGTACGCCAAATTAAATATTCTATTGAAAACATCGATTAATGGCAAGGCAGTAACTACCAATCAGTCTGTCTGTAATGGAAGAAATCAGAATCCTTCCTAGGTTTTTACTTTTAATATTTACTAAATCCGGGGTCTGAAAAAAAGGATTCGCCAGAAATCAAAGAAGATTTTTTTCTTATAAATGATCGATAAAGACATCATAATTATATAATTATTTGACAGTGCAAGCTCATTTTGATTGAAAATGATTATGGCTTAGCAATAAATACATTATCATAAATTGAAATGTTCAAACAAATAATAGCGTCATTATTTAATTTTTGTGAATTTATAATTATTCATCCTGATATCTGTTACCGTTTGAATGAATTTGATCGGTATTATAAGTTTGTTTTTTTTATTTTCAGACAAACAAACAAACGTCCTTCACACCAATGAATATATAATAACAGAAACTGAATGTCTAATACAAATAAATAACATGATGATGTGTCGCTTAGATAAGGAAAATACAATAAAGGTCTTATTCTGTTATTGTCTTGTTTCATTTCCAAATCTCAGACTGTCTGAATAGCTTGGTATTCCACTTTTTAGCATATGTTGATAATTGAGACGAAGTACTCGAACATTAAAAAGAGTTTTGCGCCTTTCCCCCCACAGACTCTTGGACAAACGGCCATTACACTTAAAACACAAGAACCAGAAGAGGAGTCACCGGAAAATGGGTAGCACTGATAACCCTAAAATAAAAATTCTCAACGACCCCAGCTCAGTGGTTGCACTTTGACATTAAACGAGACAATAAAAAGAATGTTTGCAGTAGAATTATGAAAGCCATTGGAAATAAAGCATGTTCGAAAATAACTTATTTAAGTATAGTAGAATTTGAATGTTTTTAAATTTAAAGAATATCATTTAAGTCGTCCTTTTAGACAAATCAGTTTTCAAAATTAATCTTGGTTTTCCTACATCGACCATAGAATTTGAATCTAAAAAGAGGCAGTATGTCCTTTCAACCAAACTAAATTATATTACTGTAATGATGTAATGAAAATATTAATTCATTGTATCTGATCAATAATTATGTAATCATATTCTTTAAAAAATAATTCAATGAAGTAAAATGTTACCTGACAAAGTATCCTTTTTTTAGCAGTTAAAAGTGAAAGTAACGATAAAACAATTGGTACAGTAACTGAAAGCAAAGGAACTTTTTCTATCAGCTGGTTCTTCCCGAATCAAATAATGATACAACACTGAAAGACGGGGTCAAATTTACAGAGTTAGCGATTTTATAAAATTTACAACTGCTGTAGATTTTCATAGGGTATGATACAACCTCAAAAAAAAAAAAAAATTAAGATTAAAATAAAATTTAAAATAAACATTGTAAACAAAATATTTTGTTGAAAATTGGTTCCAATATAAATTTTTATTTAAAAAAAATCTAACATCTCCAATGTTTTACTGAGCGGTCATAAAAATATCGATGTTTGCCCCGCAGAGTGAGATATCGGATCTGTCGATGAGATATTGGACCGCTTACATCACACAGTGGACGGGATCACCTAAATCTTATTTGCATTCGTTGGTGTTCGACAGTGACAGAATAGACCAGATTTTACCGCAGTGCCAGTAAAGGAAATTTACATCATGGAAGCCAGCACAAGATACATGTATGTCAAAAAAGTATAACAAAACGCTTATTGAATGTGTTCTCGGGAAAAATGCGTTTTGTCGACCCCTCGACACAATCTTTTAAACAGTTTGGTTCTTGGGACCAACAAAACGCATGTTGCCTTCGAACACTGTCAATAAATGTATAATATTCACTCCATAGTAGATTTATAATTGAGGGACTTTAGCACCACAGTCTATTATTACACACCCTAGTACACATTTAATGATTCCATAAGACAAAAAAATTACAAAATGCCTGTGTAGAAAAATCTTCAAACTACATGTTCTTTCATTTGTTTGATTAAGCGTGTTTGTCTTTTGACCAAACCATTCTACACTCTTTTCTGTAGCGTAGCTTCAAGCTCAAGCGTAGATTGAGGTGCTATAAGCGCAGCTTCCGTTTGAGACCTCGACTGACAGTAAACTAATAAACGGGGTCACATGTCCCCGCCTTAAATGGATTTGTAAGTCTACAAGCCCTAGATATTGGGGTTTTACAGAAAGTTTAAAACCTAGACTGAAGCAGACTGAAATCAAGTAAAACGATAGCAAATTTACTGTTTGTTTTTAAATACTTTTTCCTAAACTTTAATTTTTTTCAAAAATTATATATTATTTTTTTAAAAATTATACTGTAAAGACACATTCGTGTAAAGCTGGAAAATTTGACTTATGATTGTTAACTACCATGAAGGTCACTGAAACGAGTTTTCACTCTAGAACAATGTACTTTCTTAAAAAAATATTTTCAAAAAATTCCAGTAAAAGATGAGAGTGACTCTCGGTAAATAATGTGGATATTACCATAATTGTAAAACCCAACGTGATACAGCGGTTATTTTTTCATATATTTAATAAGAACAAGATTAACTCTGCATTACGTCAAAAGCTTTTATTAGACAATAAAAATAGATGCACTTATTTTATGAGGAAAACTTTGTTCTGCTTTTTGAGTTGTGTTAGCTAGAAAATAAATTAGATCGGGATCGAAATATCTCAAATTCTTGCTCTTTGCCCTGGATGGTACACTTATTTTGTAGCAGACAGAATTTTGAAAAAATATACTTTCAATCGCAGTTTTTTCTAATGAGTAAAAGTAGCAAATCTCTATTTTATACATTTATTGAGATGAGTGATGCCATTACAGCTACCTGTCTTTATCAAACAATGGTGGCGAGTGAGAGTGAGTCAAACGTTCATTCGGGCACCTGCTGTTCTTGTTTTTCGTTGTCATTTTACGATTAATTTGTCTTGGAATGCAATACTTGTGTTAATCATGTGATTCTCATCTTATTCTCTGACAGTTTCTTTCTTTTCTTTGACAAATCCACTCACCTGATACTGACTTTATCATATTTTCGCTGCATATTTTTGACTTTTCGGTTTTTGCTGATGACACCTGCATGATAAGCTCACACTTCTAAAACTGGTATCTGCAGAAAAAAATTGTCAATCCTTACATCTTTCCATCCGTTACCTACTCACAAGTAGTCGAGTTGTGAATAAATATGTAAGTATCATTGAGTATACATGTATATATAGCTTTTTCAAAAACTTAGCAACAACCTTAAGCAGTAAACTGACCTACACCTTTCAGGCTGTATTATTCTTGAACATGTTTTGGCTTTGTATTTTTTCATCAGCTTTTTACACACATTAGCCCTACCATATGATTGATTGATTATTTGATTGATTGGTTGTATGTTGTTTATCATACAAAAACTGTTAAAAACTGAGGCCAATGTAACCATATGCGCACCCCTGACGCGACAGACTACTTTGTTTACTATGCACTGACACCTTCATAAAAATCTATTAGAACATGTTAAAAAGTACTAAGGAGCTTTTTAAATGCATTTACTTTGAGATGCCAACATTATTAGCAAGCGGAAGCGCCGCTCGTATTGCGAGCTCTTAAGAGTCATTCTCTGTAAGCATCAAAGAATTTAGAAAAAAGTTGGAAATGGTACATCACAGATTTGGCTGATATTTTGCATGTAATGCAGAAACACCATGTATAGATCATATTTGGGGTCAACAGACAAATTTGAGTACCGGTTGCCATGGTTACCGAAACCGCCATTTTTAGCTCATAAATGAGCAACATTCTACTAAAATTATACCAACTTCATCTTAATTTTTTATTTTCTACACATTTCATACAGGATTAACAGTTACCTATTCTGATGTATTATTTATAGACGTAACTACCGCAATTAGTGTATCAATTCAGTAGTTGGACATGAATGAATGATCTTTCAATGAAAAGTGTCAATTTTTACAAATTTAACAAATTTTAAAAAATGCAGATTTTGGGCATTTTCTACAAATAATAGCAAAAAAAAATGCAGGCACTCCATAGCAAATAACCACCATCATGTAAAAGTTCATTCCATACTCAACAAAATATAAAATTTCTAGAGTGGTAATATTTCTTAAAATAAAATAAAATGAAAACAAAAATGGTTGCTATGGAGAATTTGGATTAATTTGTAGATTCCACATTTGACTCATTTTTGAACATATCTGCTTTAATTAAATCATTAATGAAAAAATATCTCAATAATTTACCTTTTCAATTCACTTAACATTTAATCAAAATAGAAATATAAAATTGAAAAAAACCAACGTTGCTATGGCAACCAAATATTCAGGAACTATTCAAATAATCATTAATATTAACAATATAAAATAACCATTGCCACATTGCATTATTATAATTCTTCTTCTGAATCAATAAATAAATCAAATTAATCAGCTTTATTATTTCACTTTAAGAAATTCATAATTTAAAAAAAAAAAAAAACAGTTGCTATGGCAACCAAATAGTTCAGGAACAATCCCTATTATTATTGATATTATCAATGTACACATCGTTGAATGTTATATTTCTTCTTCAATAAAATAAATCATGCTAATGAACCT